TTCTGTTAACCTATCTCCACTTTTACTGAGTTTTGTCTGTCTTCTGCAGTCTGGTTTTGTTAAGTCCAGGCTGGCATCAAACTTAGTATGTAGCCCAGACTAGCTACACCATCCTCCTGTCTCAACTTCCCAAGTGTTAGGATTACAGCTGTGTGCCACCATGTCCCCAGACTCCTATAATCTGCATTTTAGCCTACTTAGCTAATTTTTATTTTAATAATAATTCTTTCCAGTAGTAGTATTTCTTTTTTTGTTTTGACTTCTCTTTTAAGATTTTTTAATGCATTCTTAAATATCATATTTTAATTCTTTCAGCACAATTTCAATAGCTAATTTGAAGTCTTTATCTGCTTAAAGTAACCCAGTCTCTGCTTGGAGTCTGTTTCTATTGACTTATCATTCCTTTATCCTAAGTTGGATTTCATGTTTGGTAATATTTGACTAAGTTTCAAAACTTAATTTGTGAAAACTGGAACTTCTAGATAATAAGTTGTAGTGAGTGATTATGTTTCATTCTTTAAGAATTGTTAGGAACTTTTAACTTTAAATTGGATCAGTTTGTGATATGTGTTTGTACATACAACATTTTCTCTGAAATCACAGAAAGATTGTCAATGGCATTATTACCCTGGAATTGGGCCTGAATTTTCGAAAGCAAGGAATTATTTTCTTTAATTTCATTATTTTAGAGTTTTACAGATGAAAAGCCTAATTATTTAGAGTTGGTCGCAATATGATAATGCCAAAGAAAATTATGATTTTCAGTTATTAAGCATTATTATGTGTCATGTGATGTTAAGCATTTTATATACACATTTTAATTAATCCTTGGAGCTTCAATGTCTACATTTTAGAAACTGAGGAAATTATCTTTTTGTAACATTTTTATTAGTGTATATAGTAGTTGTACCAGGGGGTTTTCATTGTGACATTTCCATATATCCTTACGATGTACCTTGGTTAGATTCACTCCCACCATCATTTTCCTTCACCCCCTCACCCCCACTTAAAGCATTTTCACCTTCTCCATTTACCCTCCTTGCACTAAAACCCACTCCTTAACAGGACTTGTTTTATAGTTTTTAAGTGTATATTCATTGTTTAAAGGGATTTCATCATGGTATTTCACGAATTGTACTTCAATCAGATGAACCCTTCATATTACTTCCCCTTAACTTTTCCCTTCTACCCCCATTTTCCCTCCTATCTCCATATTATTCAGCTTTCAGTGCATTTTGTTATGCTATCTTCCTGTATAGATGAAGTGTATTTTGATATTATTCACTTTCTATTATTATTTTTTTTCCTCTCCTTTCTCTTAGTCCCCTAAACAGTCCCACTATTACAGACATTATCTATTTGTCTGTCTGTGTCTCTATCTATCTATCTATCTATCTATTTATATTTGTGTATATGTTTATGGTTTGGTCCTGTCTTCCACATTGAGATCTTTGATCCACTTTGAATTGATACTAGTACAGGGTGAGATGTTAAATTTGTCAACATATGAATATACAGTTTTCCCAGCACCATTTGTTGCAGAAGGTATCTTTTTTCCAATGTATGTTTTAGGCTGTTTGTCAGAAATTAAATGGCAATTGTTATTTACTTTTTGCTGGTACTGGAGCTTGAATTCAAGGCCTCATGCTTGCGAGGCAGAAACTCTACCACTTGAGCCACTCTGCCACAATTAAAAACAAATGGTTTTTAATCCAATTTGCCATTGTGTCTTTTGATTGGGGAATTGAGGCCATTCACATTCAGTGTTAATATTGAAAGGTATGTAGTAGTTCCATTCATTGCTGTTTTTCTGATGTTTACTTTTTCTCTGTTGCTTGTTTACTAATCTACCTCATTATTTAACATTTTCCTGGTTGTGTCTATTTTCTTCTTTTGCGTGTAGGATCCTTCAAGTATTTTCTGCAGTGCTGGTTTGGTGGTCATGAATTCCTTTAGTTTTGCTTATTTTTTATTTCCTTAGTTATGAAGGATAGTTTTGCTGGGTAGACTAGTCTAGGTTGACAATTGTTTTCTTTCAGGGCTTAAAATATATCATTCCATGCTCTCCTTGCATTTAGAGTTTATGCTGAGAAATCTGCTATTCTAATGGGCTTGCCTTTATACATGGCTTGTTACTTCTGTTCTGAAGCTTTCAGAATTCTTTGTTCTTTATGTTTACGTTTAATTAATTGTAATGTGTCTGGTGATGCTTCTTTTCTGGTCTTGCTTGTTTGGTGTTCTAAATGGTTCCTATATCTGAATGTCCCTCCCTTTCTCTAGATTGGGGAAGCTTTCTGCTATTTTCTTAGTATTTTTTCATCGTCTTTGATCTAATTCCTCTACTTTATCTTCAATTCCTGATATTCTATTTTCAACTTGCTCCACTCTGTTAGCCAAAGTTTTGATAGAGGTTTTTATTTGGGATATTAAGCTTTTTGTTTCTAAGATGTCAATTTCACTATTTTCAGGATTTCTATATCTTTATTGAATTCCTCTATCATATTCTGCATTCTCTTCTTTATTTCAGTCATCTATTTATATGAATTCTTTTTCAGTTCAGTTATTTTTTTGTGTGTGTGTCCTCTTTGAATTAATTCAGTTGCTTATACATCTCATCTTTGAATTCATTGATAATTTTTGTCATTGCTTTTAAAAAATTAGTTTGTATATAAGACCTTTATTGTAGAGTTGTTGGCTTTTAAGGGAGAGCTGTTGCTTTCTTGCTTCATGTTTCTGTGTTGGGATTTACACATCTGGGGTTGATTTTGGTTGGAGAGTCCAATCCTTTGTGTTCCTTTAGTTGGAGCTTTCTCAAAGATTATTTTGGACTGGGTATTGGGTTGATTGTAGTGTATTTTCTTGTCTGTAGACTGGGGGATTCTGGTTTAGTAGTCAAACATTCATATTTGGTTCTTAAGATGCTGGGTGCCACACCCCAGGAAGAGGAAGCTTAGCTTCAAAATCTATCACAGTTTCTCAACTGCAGCCTTGAGATTACAGCAATTCCTAAAGAGCAATCACTGCTGCTCCTCTAGTATCTTTAGAGGTATATTGGAGCAAAGATGAATCTGCATGATCTAAGAAGACCCAAGGTAATCAGGGTGGTTATGGAGAGGAGTTGGGGGGAGGGTAACTATGGATAATATAAGGTATATGGTTTTATAAGGCAGAAAGGGGTGGTGACTAAGCTTAATAGAAGGAGTTGATGAGAAAGTGAAATGACATAGGTAGAAGAGACCTACATATTGTGTTGAAGGAAATAGGAGGAAATGGAGAAAATTGAACAGACAAACATAAATAAAACCCCAAAAGAGATGACCTGGCATTCTATTTACCAGCTGAAAGTATAAGTAACAAAGAAGGATTTGGGTAGGTAAAAAGAGAAGAAAATATGAGCTAGGAAGCAGTTCTAGTTGTGGACAGGAGGGAAACTATAAATGGAGAATGGTGATAGGAAAAGGAAGGGGAAGAAATGGCTTAAGAATGAATACTGAGAGGCAGGTTTCATGAGTCTCATGTCTGCTGAGCAACAAAGTGGGGAGAAAAATAGAACTAAGGAGAAAATGAGAGAAAGAGTGCAAAATTACTCAGATATACAGAAAAAAATACAAACACATAAAAAATCTAAACATACAAAATTTGACAACAAAAATAAGTTAGCATATAAAATATTTTGGAATTTGACCAAGCACTAGTGGCTTACACTTGTAATCTTAACTACTTGGGAAGCTGAGATCAGGAGGATTGAGGGTCGAGACCAGCCTAGGCAAATAGTTCACGAGATCCCATGTCCAAAATAACTGGAGCAAAATGAATAGGAGGTGTGGCTGAAGCATTAAGAGTGCATGCTTTGCAAGTGTGAAATCCTGAGTTCAAACCCCAGTTGTCTTTCCCTTCTCCTTCCCCTCCCCCCCAAAAAAGAAAAACTCACAACTTTTTATGTTTTTCTGAGTGGGTGTTTCCTTCCCCCCATCGGTATCCTAGGCTTTCAGTCTTAGGTGGCATTCTAATCGGATACCCAACTCTGGAATGGTGCCAGTTTATTGCCTGCTGCTCCTTTTCCAGTGTGTTTGTGTGTGTGTGTTGGGGGGGAGGTTGGATATTATTATCTCAGGTGAAAGATTCTGGAGTTTAAGCCCTCAATTTGCCAGTCTCACACACTGTCCCCCTTCACTTGTAGTGGAAATTATCTTTTAACACTAACTTATATAGTAAATAAGTTTTAGTTGAGATCAGTTTTTCTGACTGAAGAGTCCTGGCTCTGTAGGTCTGTATTGTCCAGCCTTCCTTTTTTGTCACTATTGTGTGTGCTTTAAAGTAGTGGTTTTTTTCTTTCTCGGTTTTTGATCTTAATTTTCTAATGATTTTGAACAACAGGTTGACATTGGTCAAATTGGATGTACCATTTTATACTGTACCATTTTTCAGGGAGAAAAAAACAGATTTAGATTCATTCATTCTTTGTTTATTGTTGGTACTAGGGTTCAAACTTGGCTTCATGCTTTTCTAGGTAAGCATTCTACCACTCGAGCCAGGCCTCTAGCCCTAGATTCTTTTAGTAGCCTAATTGTATCTTTAAAGCTTGTGTTTGGTGTTTTGGTTTATTCATAATTGATAATTTAGAGTAAGATTGGTCAACATTTCAATTTGACCAGAAGGTGATACTTGTGTTTAATCATATAGCACTTAAAGTGTCTTATCACTTTAAGCAATGTATTGCTTAATTTTTTAAAAAAAATTCTGGAATTTCTTTTGAAAATTGTATTTTGTATGGCAGTTATTTAACTCTTGAAGCATAATGGTACATTTTTCTGACAAACTCTGCTCCTAAAACAAAAACAAAACAAAAAACAAAAAAACCTCTGCTCCTTCAGGTAAGGCCATTGAAGGATTCAGATTGAACTAGGCTTCTCATCCTTCTTTCCCCCTCATACTACTGCCTTTGTCTCCTAGTTTCCTTTGCAAACTGTGTGGGTTTTTTTTTTGTTGTTGTGTTTCAGAGTGGAAAAGCCACTGGCAGTGATTCAGGTGGTGTCATTGATCTCACAATGGATGATGAAGAGAGTGGAGCTTCACAAGGTACTTAAATTGTAATGGTATTAAGGAGTACTTTAATAACATTTTTTCCTCTTAATATACTACAATATTCTGTGAAGACAGATCTCTACAGCATAATGTGTGGTGTATTTATATCCCTTTTAGAAGTAGAGTTAAAAAAATTAGACTTAAAAACAGAAACCAAAATTTGAATGAGTATGAACAAGGTGTAGGAAAAGGTTTGTGGAGCACTTCTGTATACATTGTAAATTACAAATTAGCATAGTAAAGAGAAGTCTCTATTAAGAAAAAAGCCAATTGAACTTGGCATTTTCTAAGCATATTTAACCATGGAACTTCTTTTTCTGGGGGGAGCGGGGCAGTGCTGGGGTTTGAAATCAGGGCTTTGCCTTTGCTAAGCAGGTCCTCTTAACACTTGAGCCACACCTCCAGTGCTAACAGTGGAACTTTTTATTCATGGAACACCTACCAAAACTGCAGAATAATAACTGAGAGTATGGTTTAATACCAACTCATTCTAGTTTCTAAATATTGTAACTGAATACTACTAAGTATTTTGGGTATGAATGCTTTATATAGCACTAAAGGCAATTCAAATGATCAAAATTAAATGTATATATACTTATAAGTATCTGCATTAAAAATACACACAGGACTTTCCTGAAGTGGTAGAGTGTACCTACCTAGTAAGCTTAAAGCCCTGAGTTCAAACCCCAGTATTGGGGAAGAAAAAAAAAATGTAGAGATCTGCCTACAAAACATGCGCACACACAAAAAACAGTTAATATAGATTCAGAAGACCTAGGTTTGATTCCCAGGTCCCTTGCTGGTTCTGACATATCTTCTCTAAGTCTTGCAAGTTCCTTCAACTATAAAATGAATATCATAAGATTATTGCAAGGATCTACTGAAATAGCAGACACAAAGCCAGAACTGTTCCATAGGACAGAAATGAGTGAGGATCATTTTAGAGAGAAAGGCTTTTAGCTTATATGCTTCATATAATTACCATGTAGTGGTTTTCCTATTTTTAAGAGATTTAAGATGCAAATATTTATTTCATAGGTTGAAGACTTTTAAAACTAGACAATCTGTGTATTTTATTTTAAAAACTATATAGTGATGATAAGCAACCAATTATGTATCAAACAAAAGAACCCAAACTATACTGAGTAATTGAAATTCAAAATCTTATTTATAGTATTTTTAATTATAGTATTTGTCAATTTATAGTATTTTATCTAGGACAGTATTATTGACACAGGCATGTAGATACATTCATATACATCATGCCAGGAATGAAGTTATTCTAGTTGACATGATACTGTATTGAATCTAGAAGTAAGATCCTTTCATTTAAAAAAAATTTTTAAAAAGCAAAATGGATTTCTGTAACTACGAATTAGAATCTGTTTTAGAAGCAATAATGAATTGTTTAACTAGCTCTTATCTTGGTTTTCAAATTGGCAAAAAATACACACAAAACAGAAGGAAATTGTTCTTGTAAAAATAGATAATTTTGACACCCAAGTGGCAAGGAAAAATAAAATTCACCCATAAAAAGGAAGACCTGTATTTCCTAATTTTTCTGTTATATCTCACTTTTAATTAACAGAACCAAAAAAGCTAAATCTTACTCCTTTATCAGCCATGAGTTCTTCTCAGCCTATGTCTCGACCATTGCAACCCATACAACCAGCACCGCCTCTTCAGCCATCTGGAGTGCCAACAAGTGGTCCATCTCAAACGACCATACACTTACTACCTACAGGTAAATTCGATGAGTCATTAAGCAAAAGCGTTAATTTTGCTTCAGAGATCAGTGACCATGGAATTGCATGGAAAGAGGAGGCAGAGTGAGAGTAAGCCTCATTATTATTTTGAAGACAATGTGTGTCTTTAAATACAGTGTAAGTTAATTTTGCCATCTTTAGTAGCAGCACAGGTAGAGAATAATTATAAAGAAGACTTTAAATATATATATGTATATATGCATATATATTTATTATTTGCTATTCTGAAAAGCAGAAATGATAGTTTCTCTAAGAGCTGATTATAATGATTTGTTCTGTGTAAAACAGATAAATTATAATTGATTGATCAAACATGAATTTTAAAGTGAGTCTTATCTTGAACTACTTCTAACTAGCCTAAACACCATCAGAAAGTAAATGCTAGTATTTTACTTGCTACATTTCAAGATACTATAAACCAGACATTTTCAGGATATAGCCTATATCATTTAGTTTAGAAGCTAATCAAAACAGTTTGACTTCTTGCAAGTTAGTCTGTTGCTTAGAGATTTATCTACAAAGTACTTACATAAGCACTCCTCCTTGAGGAAAGCATGGAGTTAAAATGGAATTTTATCCAGTGAAATTTATACTTAGAATACCAGACTAGTTTGTAGGAAAAGGGATATTTTCTAGTGTTTCATAACTGTTAATCTTTGAATTATGAAATTATTGTTGATGCAGTAAGTATATGTGTAGATTTGCTGGATTTCAGAATTATAGATGTTTTCCAGAATTTGCTACTATCAGTTAAGCTACCTTGTTGGCATTGCCATGCAAAAGAGTGTATTTATGACTTTATTTCTGATATAGAAGTTAGTTCTCATATTTGAATATCATTATTCTATCTGAATAGGTGGTGGTTATTCATCTTCAGGAGCTCCTGTGCTTTACATTTATACAAAGTTATAGCAACAGTTACCTACTTTAGATATTTTAAAAGGAAATGTCATTATGCCCATCCACAGGTAGTTAGACAATGACTTGTCTGTTTTCTTCCCTTTTCGGAAGACTCACAGGATATGTAGACTGAGGAGTCCTTAGTTGTCAGTTTGCTTTTTTTCCCCCAGTATTTGGGATCAAACCCAGGGCCTTCCACAGGCTAGGCCAGCATTCTACCACTGAGCTATATCCCTAGTCCAAGAAATCTTTAATAAGGAACCCTTTTTATCTTTGTTATATCCAGTATTTTCCTCCAAATTAATTTTATTATAGAAACCATTTTTTTCTATGTGAAAGTAGATTATTGTTTTCTATTGTATAGTTATTACATGATCATTTATAAAATATTTTAATTCAGAGAGTTATTAGTGGGAAAATGTTAACTTAAAATTTGACATTATTGTCAGTCATGGTGGCATGTGCCTATAATTTAGCTACTTGGGAGGTAGAAGGATCACTGAAGCCTAGGACTTTGAGGCCACCCTGGGCAGCATAGTAAGACCCCATCTCTTAAAACAAACAAAACCTACCTCATTATTGTAGCTCCAGGCTGTGATTCACTTTTTAAGAAATACCTGTTAGCACTACTCAGTGCTTCTAGAATATTAGTTGTGGGGGAGAGGGGATGCCAGAATGCCAGAGAAGAGGAAGGGCAAAATGTGAATTATAGTAGCCAACCAAAGACATAGTTCGGTTCACTTAAAAAAATGTGAATTACAATAGCCAGCCAGTTTCATGAACTGTGGAACACAATTCTCTTTAAATTTATACCCCCTTGGTAGAAGGCCTAGAGGGCCAGTAATTCCACTCTACTAAGAACAACTTAAAGTTGAAGAAGTACAAATTGCTTTTGTAAATGTCTCGTATAGTAACCATACTCTTAAAAAAGATCCCTTTTTACCCCATCTGTGTTTATTATCTAGTCAAACCGAAGAGTGGCAGTGAATTATATATGATTAAGGTACTCTTTTCTTCTGAAGCTTGAATTTTGATATTGATACTGTTATTTTTTGTTGTCCCTGTCATTGTTACCTTGCAAGATTTTGAAGGAGACTATTACCTTTTTTTCCCTATTATATAGTTAGATTTTATGCAAAGATAATTACCATTTGGTACTGTTTCTTTAACATAAAATTGACAGCATTCTTAATACCTTTTTGTGGCTTACATTAGCTCCAACCACCGTGAATGTAACACATCGTCCAGTAACTCAGGTGACCACAAGACTCCCTGTACCAAGAGCTCCTGCAAACCATCAAGTGGTTTATACAACTCTCCCAGCACCACCAGCTCAGGCTCCACTACGAGGAACTGTTATGCAGGCTCCTGCTGTTCGTCAGGTCAATCCTCAAAATAGTAAGAGACTCTGCTTATATATGACTCAGACATTCACTTTTCTTCAGCATTTAGTTGGAATGGCTTATATTGATGTTAGATTTTGCAAAACATGCTTGTAATATCATATGAAAACTATAATAAGTTCAAGAAATCTATTATACAGCATAGTTCTATAGTATAGTTAGTAACAATATATACTTTAAAATTGCTAATAAGTAGATTTTAAGTGTTTGCACTACAAAATAATTATGTGTTAATGCATATGTTAACTAGCTTGATTTAATCATTCTGAAATGTGTACATATTTCAAAACATAATGTTATATACTATAAAGATACTCAGTTTTGTTAATTAAAAATGATTTTTAAAAATGGTAAAAAAAAAAAAAACTATTACTAATTCATTTTTCTTCCCTTATAAGAGTTAACCAGACAAAAGTGGGCATGTATACTATATAGTTTATGTGCTTTGTGTGTAAACTTCAATTTAACTTTATTTATGGTTTGCATTATCATAGTACCTTTATTTGATGTTGGTCTATACTCCACTCTTAAAAGAAATGGCCTGCCTAATTACAGTTGAAATGATCAATTTTTGGCTTAGCCCAGATAGATGATGGATGTCATTATAAAAGATATTTCTAAGGAAAGAGTCTTAAAGGTATAGAAGGTGACTGAAGAACCAAAAGAGAAAATGTTAAAGGAAACATACAGATTCCTACATATATTATATGTTAAATTTTGTATAAAAGGTATATTTAAAGTTTAAAGAAAAATAATAAAGTGAGCCAACTATGTACTCTCTACCAGGTTGAGAAATAGAACTTTGTCAGTATCCTGTATGCCTCCTATTCCCTCTTTTTCTTTTCACCATCCTTACTTTTCCATTGGTCATTTGGGTTTTTTTTGTGGTTTTGTTACAATATATAGCTAATATATATGTAAAGTTTAATAGCATGGAAAAGTCTAGTTCAAAGAAACTGTAATAATGCCATTATCAAATGATAGCTCTGAGGAGAAATTAAACCAAGCAGAGTCTCTGGGTCATAGTCTGGCTTCAACTTTCTCTGGGCAGATCAGTTGATAAGGTCATGAGTTGGTTCAGGGAAAAACTAGACTTACCACAGTCAGAAAAGCTGACAGGACTGTAGTATAGATCAGATACCGAATATATGCCAGAAATACGATTGGGACCGTAGAGAGCTCTAAATTTTCTATTTCTGTCGTTCTGAGGTTTGTCATAGGTCTTCTGTGGGGTTAGATGAGTATTTTTAGCTGATTAGGACAAGAAAAAAAGAGAGGAATTTCATTAAAACGAGACAAGGATGATTCTTTTTTTCTGGGCGGAACTGGGGTTTGAACTCAGGGCCTCACACTTGGTAAGTAGGCACTTTATCTCTTGAGCCACTCTGCCAACCCTTTTTTATGTTAGGTATTTTTGAGATAGAGTCTCACAAACTATTTGCCTGCCTTGCCTTGAACCATGATCCTCTTGATGTCTGCTTCAAGTAGCTAGGATTATAGGTGTGAGTCACTGACTAAAGATGATTTTCTTGAGTTTTCTGTCCTGGTTGAAAATGTGAGACAACAGGGATCTTTATACAGACAACTTTAATTTGTCTATCTTTTGTTTGCTAGGTGGATGCTCCACCACTTCAGCCACACCTCCAGCCTAGTTTGTCTATCTTTGAATCACACTGTTCCTTTTAGGCTTGTTTTCTTTCTACATGAGGTGTACAACTAGTGTTGTTTATAGTCCTCCTCTTAGAGATACATGTGTTTGTTTCTGTAATAGAATACCTGTTCTTATACCTCATGTTTTCTCTTACGTTGATTGCACACATCATCTAGTGATATTTGGGAAAAGGTGCATGGAAGTTAGATCTTTTTGAACACTTGAATATGCAGTAGACCTTGGTATCTGTGGGTACATGGTTCCAAGGAGACCATCAGTGAGGAAAAACCATGCATGCTAAGGATATACAGAGTTCAGTGCTATATTGTGAATATTTGATTAATTTTTTTCCATAACCCGCTAAACTTCTACAAGACATGCTGCCTTTCAGCAAATCTCAAATTTTCATTTTACCAGCTAAATTAAACATTCGCTTTTATATTGCTTTTTTGGCACATTTGCTTTTCAGGAGGCATATTTGGTTTTGAATTTATTTATTTATTTAACTGTGCTTGGTCAAAAGTATGTGTAATAAATCCGTAAACAAACAGGCTTATTGTATTCTTTCTTTTTTTTTTAAATTGATTTATTCATATGTGCATATATTGTTTGGGCCATTTCTACCCCCTGCCCCCACCTGTATTATTTCTTTATCCTCATGCTTAAGTGATGGCTTGTCTGACTATAAATTTCTAGGTGGAAAATAATTTTCCTTTTGATTTTTTTCTTTTTTGTAGTACTAGGGCTTGAACTCAGGGCCTACACATTGAACCACTCCACCAGCCCTTTTTTGTGATGGGTTTTTTTGAGATAGGGTCTCACAAACTATTTCTCTGGGCTAACTTTGAACTGAGATCCTCCTAATTCTCTGCCTCCTGAGTAGCTAGGATTATAGGCATGAGCCACCAGTGCCTGGCTCCTTTTGAATTTTAAAAACTGCTTTACTGACATCAAGTGTTTAATCAGTATCCCACCAAATTTACAGTAGAATTCTGATGTTTTCCCTTAATTTTCTTTTGTAGGTGTTACAGTTCGAGTGCCTCAAACAACCACCTATGTTGTAAACAATGGACTAACCCTGGGATCAGCAGGACCTCAGCTCACAGTGCATCACCGACCACCACAAGTGCATACTGTAAATGTTGATGCTTTACTTTATAAAATTCTGAACTATAACAAGGTCAAATGTTGTAGTTAGCATTTTTCTTTAAAGTAACAACACATAAGGGAAGTGATAGGTTTCTTCTCTTCCAGTTGAAGTTTATTTTAAGGAAATTGATCTTTCCATTGTGAATAAATGTTCCTAGGGATGATGATCATTGAGATAGCTTATGGGATATAGTGCACTAAAAATAGGCCCACAGCTGGGACAGTGAAGTGAAATAGACCATTCTAATTCATGGTTAAATTAAGAGTATTTTGGATTTTCCATGTTCTAACTTTATTCTTTTCCTTAAAATCTTACACCAGTTCTGACTACTCTGTTGTCAACAATTTATTATTTTAATTAATCTACTAAGATTGGGAATTTGTTTGTTTAGGAGGACAGAGAAAACCAAAAATCTTTCCTTAGATTTAGCCTCCAATACAATGTCATACTACTCTGTGACAAGATTATGGTAGTATTTGATTAGTATAGAATATCGTATAAATAAAAATACTGGGATGATTGATTCATTTATTACCTAGCAAAACTTTCTTTTAAAAATGCTTATAATAAGTATTCATGCATCTGTAAGTCCTATCATTCATCATTCAATTTAAATATCACCTTTTTCATGCAGACTGGCCAAGAATATGATATGCATTAAGCATTAAATGTGTTTTTAAGTATGCTACTGTCTTTGTATGACAATAACTTTAAAATGGAAGCATAGTTGTATATACCATTTTCACACTATGCACTGCCCCACATTGTTCCTAAAAATAACATACTTAATGGAGTCTGTACCATAGTGAATTAAATTATAAATGATTTTGTTAGAAATAGCTAACTTATATTTGTATCTACAGAATCTCTCAAAATGATGTTCCATCTGCAAGGGTTTTTTATTTCTAAAGAAAAACTCAGTACTTCAGATACAGAAAGTATTGTAGACTAACCCCAGCACCATTGTTTTGGGCATGATTGATTACAAATCACCAAATAGAAACTTGCCAAATTGGTACGATATTTGGTACTTCTCAGGATTCTTGATGTAAAGTATTATTTTGATCTCAACGTTTTCTTAATTCTAGCATTGTAAAACAGTTCTATGATCACTATAATTCAATGTGTCTCTTCTTTTGTTAGGAGCCCCCACGCCCTGTGCACCCAGCACCCTTACCAGAAGCCCCACAACCACAACGCCTGCCCCCAGAAGCTGCCAGCACATCTCTGCCTCAGAAGCCGCACTTGAAGTTAGCAAGAGTTCAGAGTCAAAATGGCATTGTATTGTCATGGAGTGTCCTGGAAGTGGATCGTAGCTGTGCTACTGTGGACAGCTACCATCTCTATGCTTACCATGAGGAACCCAGTGCCACTGTGCCCTCACAATGGAAGAAGATTGGGGAAGTAAAAGCACTTCCCTTACCCATGGCTTGTACTCTCACCCAGTTTGTCTCTGGCAGCAAATACTATTTTGCAGTACGAGCCAAGGATATTTATGGACGTTTTGGACCTTTCTGTGATCCTCAGTCAACAGATGTGATCTCTACTTCCCAGAGCAGTTAAACCTTGGAGCCTTTATCTTTTCCTCTTTTAAAAGTTCCACGTTTTGATCTTGTTTTTAATCTTGTGCATGATACCCAATGTAAAATCCACATTGTACAAGATTTCTCAGACAGATGTGTGTATACACTACATTTGTTTATAACCAGAAGTAAAATAAACTCAGCCCCTAAAGCAAGAATCTTTTCCTGGACAATTTAAGCTTCAGGGTCTTGAAATGTAAATGTGCACCTTGCTTCAGTTTTGAGGTTGGGGAATTTGTGTGGGTGTTTGTGTGCATTTTTTCCCCCTATTTGTGTGTTTATTGCAGTGGGATCTCCCATTTTCATTCTCAAATTTACCTCTCTTCCAGTATGAAGTAAGTAGATCAAAGGATCTCAGATACATAACTGGCATGATTCTACTTCTAAGGGATCTGTAGGTTCAAAGATAAGTGATTTAAACTTAATCTAAACAAAACCCAAAGAAATAGAAAAACAAAATGGCTAGTTTAAAGTAGGCTAATTTCAGCATAGTAAAGATTCTGTTCATCTTTTATTTCTTCTCCTGGGTTGCCAATTAGGAGAAAAATCATCTGCAATACTCCTCCCTTTGTAATCTGGCTTTTACATTTATTTTGTGCCTTAAAAAATCAACTATAGAAATAGCATGGCTATATGTCCATTGTTTATATTCTTTCCTTTCAGCCTGTCAGCCTTCATTTCTCCTTCATTTTCATCAAATATAGCATACCCTCTCAAGTAATTTTTTAGTCAAGATTTTTATGTATATAATTTCCCTTCCCCCATCTATGGCATCACTACATTTATCTCCCAAAATTGACTTATCTTTTCTTCTAATGATGTATGCTTTTAATTTGGGTCATTAACTGCATAAAATGGATCAAGAGAAAACTATATTGGTAAAAAAAATTTCCATCACACCTGTTCCAGTACCCATGTTGCACACTGTGTTAGGTTATGAAAGCAATTCCAATTTACTTCATTGTTCATGGTGTCTCTCAAAGGATGTAAACAGTAAAATTCACGAAGTACAGTGAGCTAATGTGTCAAGGGAAAGCCATTTTCTCTTTTTCCTCATGTCATCCTTTCTGCTTTAGCTTTTTAACTTTGTTTCGATGGTGCCAAGTTGAATCTGATTGAGCTTTTATCAGCTTTGGAAAGAACTTAAAAAGTGTATTCTTTGGTGAAAAGATATACTTTTATAGCCTTTTATATGAACCACCTGAGTATCTCCATTCTTCTTCAAAGTTAATAAAATTCAGCTTGGGTCCTGGATTTTTCAGTATGAGTGCTAGCTATACTAGTATCAGATGTTTTGATAGATAATTTAGGACAGGAGGGCTGGGTTAAGTTTTAGGGGTAAGAGTGGTTGGAAATATTTTGAGAGTTATTCATGGAGTTTGTGAAAAAGTTTTTCAAATCATCTTTCCTTAGAACATTTTAATTCATGTTTGTATTGGAATAAATTAGTCATTTTACTGGAATTATACAAGGGAGCAATATCCCTTTTATAATGCTATTTTCTTTGTTTACAACCTTCATGTCTTATAACAGGAAGTAGTCTAGTTGTAAAGAAATTGTCTTTAGTGACTTTCAGTGGTCACCGGTCACATCGTAGGTGTGAGATTTGATTGATGATAAAGCCTACAGGTTACCAAAATGTATACGGTCCAAATCTTGTGTAGATGTTGCCTTATTGGAAATCTTAGAAAATGAGACCACAGTGAGAATTAGATTTTCCTCAAATTTGCCAATTAACTACATATGACTCATTCTAGAACAAATGATGGTGGTAGAGCAATTGCCAATGTTATAACAATGAAAATTTTGAAGGGAAGAAATTATCTTCTAGATGTATATGAATGCCTGTCTGTATCTACACCTGTCTATATCTGCCTGTGTGTATATTTTTAACTGCTGTGCTTAGGATGTTGCTTATGTGTTCAGGATCATTCCTATCAGAATAGAAAAGCCCATGTTCAAAACTGTTCTTTATTGGCTGGTTTAATAGTCACATAATAACAATTTGCTTACCACCCAACAAAAAGTTCCCTTACTGAACATTGCTTATTTTCACTAGCCTTTTAAAGTTTTCAGTGTTATGTAGTCAGGTGAAGAAAGTCCAGTAGAATGAAAATATTGCATTATATTAGCCTATATTCTATCAAAAGAAAGAGAGCAAATTCTCAAGTAGTAATCCCAAAAGTAGATTTATTACAGAAAGTAATTAAACCTTTCATTTTCTCCAGATGGTGAAAGAAGGTACAAAGAGAGCTTGTAATTACAAAGAGAGCTTGTAATTTTAAGGGAAATGTGCATTTATTATAGGATGATGATGATCTCAAATTAACCTGCCTGTGGGATTTTGGGCAATAGCCATTTTGGATTTACTGAAAACTGCTGAGCTAAAATCCTAGGCTTTTATATGTGGCTTTTTTCTTTGGGAGAGAGAATGGAGGACTCAAGGTAGTTACTAATAACAAAATTTTTAGTAGTTCACACTCCATGTTTATCTTTTTTATTTCCTGGTATTTTTTCCACAAAGTATTACAAATAAGCTCAATTATCCCATTTTGGGAATGCAGTTTGCTACATTTTTAGCCTGACTATACTTGTGTAGGTGTTGCCTTATTGGAAATCCTGGAATCTTCTGATATTTCAACCTGAAATGTAGAATGTTTATATGGCATTTAATGGTAACAATAATGGTTGTTACTCTCTACTTTGCACTTTGTCAGAGTAATTTTCACCCTGTTTTAAGTGTGAGTAAGCCTCTTTTTAAAAATTATGTTCTTGCTAGTAAATTTATAAATGACATATACAACATCTGTTGTTAATGGTTAACTTTATGAGGTAACTATATCCCTCTATTTCTCCCGTCTCACTTTTTAAAATATGCAGAATACTTTGTACTGTTTAATGCAGTATATAAACTTTATGAGAGAAGTAGAGAGCTTTCTTCCTTGAAAAGCAAATATTTATTGGGGTACCATTTGCCTCCCAGATAGGTGTTCCTTACTGCCCTCATCCCCATTGCCAGAAAATAAATAACCTTGAGGAAAAATGATCTAAGCCAAGTGTAGAATCTTAGAAGCTTACTTATGTGCATCTTTCTGCAGAACTCTTTTACAGCATTAGTTGTTCATCATTTTCTTTAAATATTCTCCAAATCACCATTTATGCAGCAAGGTTAGTGTTAATGTTGCATGATATGCATTTTATCTTTTTCCATGAGTTTTCCAGTACTGTATAAGGTTCACAAAATAATGCTTGTGGTATCCTCATCTCTCACTTTTATATACTGTGATCTTTGCACAGTAGGGTACTACAGAGACCTTCCAAGTGTTCTCCCTGACTTTCCTTCTTGGGCCATTTCAGTATCCTCACTACTATGATTTTTAGAATTGTTATTTTAATTTTATCACTGATACGTGTTTGGTTGGCTTATTTTATTCTCATTTCCAGAAGATAAAAGAATGTCCCAGTATTATAGCAAATAACTATGTAACCAATGCATAGGTTTGCCTTCCTTAACTATTACTGGGCAAATTTTTTTTCCCCAATTTTGGGACATAGAAAAATTGGTAATTTTCATGAGGGCTTCCTTCGTGTGTTAAGCTTGTCTTAATTCCTAAATTCAGTTACCCTCTTTAGCCAGCCGAAAGCAAGGAATAGGATCCAGCAAACATGTTTCGTATTCTCATCTTCAAATGATTTTATCATGTTAAAAATAAGCTTTTGTTTTTATTTGTAAATTCAGCCAAGTACCTATCACCTATATTTAAATATGTTTTTTCCCCTCTCTTTGTAAATAAGGTAACTGAGCAATCAAAAACTTTTTGGGGATGCTGGCTTCAGTATTTTATCAGGCATTTCAAAACTAAATATAAACATTTTCAGTAGGAAACTTGCATCCTGATTTTTGTTCATTGCGGTTGAAAGTGTAAATAGTAAGACAATGTAAGACCTTCCTAATGTCTAATATTAACTGGGCTATAGCAAGTTGCCCTATTTTTATTATGTTTTGTGGGTTATTTTCTTTCTTTCTTAAATGTACAGTAGAGTGGTGTCTGTGTATGTGTTAACTGTTAGTGGGGTTTTGTTCAGCAAGCCTGAAATTTATACTTTGAAATAAATGACTGGGTTTTTAACATTCTGAGTACTCTGATTCATTCTGATTATTCTCAGCCTTTTTTTTTTCCTGCTTTTGAAAATCTATCTTGTTTAGAATCACCCATTATAAACTACATTGTGACTTACTTAACCTACTTAGCACTTCTGTGTCAATCATACTACATGTAATTCTCCAGCTTTGAAAGAAGAGTTGCCATTCAGAATTACTGCTTTTAACAAATGGGGAACAACAGTACTGTTAGGTTACTATATTGTGTATCTACTCTGCACCACAGAGTACTGTTGCAGAGAACTGATGCCTGTTAATGACCAGAAAATCACTTAACTGCATTTCTGCTGGAGGGTCCTTTGAAAACCCTGCTTTGTCATCCGTTGGGTTCTTGGATTCTTGTCTTTAAGCATAACCAGTCAGGGGAAGGAGAAAGGGCATGGGAGACATACAGGTTTTAGGGGTCTGTAAGTGGCACTCACCTCAGGTACCATTGGCTAGTACTCAAGTCATGTGGGTCAACTACCTACAGGGCCCTGAGAGATGGGATCTGTGTCTATAAGCATAAGAGGAGAATAACAGATTTTGATAAATGAGAGAATACTTATGCTTTATTCGCTTGTTTGCTGCAGCCTAGATTGTTGTGTATCATGTGTAATGTGTCTTCTGCAGCACTCCACCCTATACTGAATGCTTACTATTACAAACAACAAAGTGGAAAAGCAAAATAAATTTAATACATTTTATTAAGAGTAGTTCTCTAAAATAGTGCCTTTGGTATCTTGTTTGTAGCCTTTATTCCCTCATCTCCCTCTTTCGTTTCCTCTCAGCTTTCAAAATTGGTTTCATGGTAATAAAATCGAAGTCATAGACCTCTGGCATGCCATGATGGAGAGTTTTGTTGAAGCGGTTCCAGCGAAAAGCAGGAAGGCCACCTTGCACTGTGGGACCACTAATGGCATAAGCGGTGTATGTAAGTGCTAGATTGAAATCTGCCACCTGGAAAGAGAGGACCGGAGACATTTTAGAAAACCACTTGACTGAATGCATGGCCTTTATTTCCCCCTTCTCTTTCTAAAGTCACAATATTAGCCTCCTTAAAACAGAATTTTCCTGCATGCTTCTGCATAGTCGTTTATGCTATCTATCCAGCATTCAAAGGTGAATTGATTAGCAGGAGTGTATATCAATGTAGGCAGAAGTGAGATCTGTAGTGTGATTGCTCATTCGGAATACTAACTACAAATGTGTTTAAAAATCACTTAACAATTTTATGACTCAGTTTTCTCACTTGTGACGTGAAAGTGATAACCACTATATTATGGAAACCAGCTTGTTTTCTCATTTGTACAGTGGACTAATAGTCCTGTTTTATAGAATTGCCATGAGAATTAATGAGTAATGCTTAGAGCAGTGCCTAGAATATATTAAGTCCTCAATAAAAGTTATTAATCAGAGCCAGCAGCAAGAGTTTTAAAGTAGAATGTAACCACTGTCAACAAATGAGGTCCAAGGTTCTCAAAAGCACTCAACCACCGTTGGGTTAGCATCAACTCTTAACCTTCAAGGGGAAAGAAAGTACTGGATTCAAAATGGCTATAACAAGAGAAATTATATTTTCAATTTATATCCTTCAACAGAATTTGGCACAAGGAAGATTGGCTTGGATTCTCCCACACAAGGCAGCAGAAGTGGTAGTGTAGAGTGGGATGAATATTACACTTCTCACACTTTCCAGCTGAACGTTTGCAAATATTATGAAAAAGAAATACCAAAACATTTTTGGGGGCTTCACAGGTGCCAGGTTCTCTACACTGATTTTCCTTTCCCCTTTCTTTTTCTTCCCTTTCCTCCTTTTCCTTTGCCCTTCCTTCCCCCACCCCGACTCCTTCCCTCCCTTTCCCGTACCTTTATTTCCCTCTTCCTTTCCTTTTCCTTCCCCTTCCCTTCCTCCTTTCCCTTTTCTCTTTCTCTTCCCACCTTCCTTCCTTTTTCTTTACTAAAGCTTTGCCATCACATAGCTACAAAGAAGATTGAGCTGAATCAAACTACTTAGAGCATTTTGCGTTTAAGTATTAGGCTGATAGAAAATATTTGTAGGTGGTGTCAGCATTCCTATAATTTTTTGAGCAAAGATAGGACAGATCACGCTTTCAAAATTTCTTCCAGAATTTAGGACAGGTGATACAAATGAAAAGACATGCCCAAGCCAAAAGTGTCAAAGGATGTGGTAGTGTTATTCCAACCAAATGGCTAACTCATGCCCTTGAACACCCCAAATCCAGTAGTAGTATGAAGGTAAACTTTTAATAGATCCTGATTTATGGTGTTTGCTAATTTCCATGGTATAAATTCTCCCACTAAATCTAAAATGTAACTTTCACGGTTGTTCACTCAACACCAATATAAGCCAGCTTCTGCACACCACTGTGAACTTATATTATGTTACATATATGTAACCTTTAACGTTACCTATAATGCATGCTGGGCAAGTGTTGTACCTCTTGAGCTATGCTCCCAGTGATTGTTTTGTTTTTTTGAGACAGGTTTATGCTACTTTTGTCTGGGCTGGCTTTAAACTTGTGATCCTCCTGCTTTCCACCTCCTGAGTAGCTGGGATTACAGGCTTGTACCAGCACACCTGGCTATCACCAATTCTAACATGATGAAAACCTTTAGTGCTTTGAACACCTGGTCCAATACCTGTTCCTTCAGCTAAATTCATGTTTAGCATGAAATCATACTGCTCTCAATAGCATGTTGTTTGGATTTTTAGCCAGTTTAGTAAAACTTGACATTATCATCATCACCATTGTGATTGTGTACATTTGCAAATAACTGCTGTTTGAAACATTTTGTAGCTATTAAAGCCTTATTCTTCACAACACCCCATACGGTAAGTACTGCTGTTTCCACTGCACAGATGAGGAAATGGAATGTTAAAAATTACGAGATTTACTCTGAAGTGGCAGAGCAGGACTTGTAGTTTGGCAGTGGGACCTAGTGCTAGAATCTCTGAAAAAGCTGATTCCTGAATTTGGTTATGGTTAGAGACATTATGTTTTATGCCATGAAAAGCTCTACAGCTTTACCTTGGCCTGATTGCTGATTGGATTTGAATTCAAAAGCTAGTAGAGCATGTTACCTTTGTGTCATAGCAACCTCCAGGACTTGGGTTAGCTGAGTTCAGGTCCTCACGGCAGCAGATGGTATTGCAGGGATCACCCTTACTATAAGGATCCTTCTGATAATCTAAGAAACAGTAATGAAGAAAAGAGTGAGTTGTAACTATTCTAAGATATGTTCATATCTCAAATAAGAGTTTAGAACCTGACAAGCCTAGATACACCCCCAAGGGCCTCACCAGCCCAGTTTGCTCCCAGATACAAGGCTATATATTCTGAAAGAGTCACTAACCACAAGTCCTCTGCCCAATAATTGTGCACAGTGAAGAATGGAGAGAAGAGAGATGACAGAAAACTGATGTGCATCTATGTCTTCCAACAAAGGAAATGTAAATTTGACTTTGGTACTATCAGTCAGAAGTAGCATTTCTGAATATTTTTCTGTTAGCTGCTTTTATGCTTGGAAGAAAACCTGTCGTGGGGAAGGGAGGTAGTACCCTATATGAGTTAATCTACGTTTTACATGTAATTTTTTTCAGTTAAAAAAATCTATAGAATCTTCTGTCATATGATAAAGGATGCAAAAATTCTATTTGTTGAGTATACAATATGTATAGTATTAGTTGAACACTGTGAATACTTAATTCAAATAACTTTTTATATTTCCTTCTAGTACAGAGATGATAAACTTACATGGATTCTTGATCCATGGGGAAGAAAAGAAGTTTTGAAGAATGACTCTTGAGAAATGTGCTACGTACTGTTGTATCGCATGATATATTTCATCGAAGCCACATCAGTTACTTTCCCTTGATCTCGCCGGAAAATTTTGGCTCGAGGAGCTAAGTCGTAAGAGTAATCCAAGCCCAGCTTCTGAACCAGCAGTGGGTAGCCACTCCAGTTGTAGACTTTTTCATGGAAAGGAACATTGTAGGAAGGCCAGTATCCTGATGTGGAATGGAAGAGAAGGGTAGGATTGACAGAGAAGAAGACAGAAAGCAAGAGAGTGAGGGAACAAAAGAAGTGTTAATGATAGCTTATTTTGAAATTTTTGTCACGTGTAATTACAAAATGAAATGGCACAGAAAATAAAGTTTTGAATGTAGACCTTGGCAACCAAACATCCTTTTAAGTTTCCAGAATTGGTATGCTTCTAGATTATTTTGTTAAGGGAAGAAGAGCATATGAATTTTTGGATTTCGCCCCAAATTGTTAAAGAAATCTATAAACCAGAAAATAACCTTATTTTCTGTATAGCAAAATGAAGTAAGTGGATTGGCTATTGAAATGCCAAAAGATGCTTCACAGTTTGATCTAAAAGGGAGACTCCAGATGTAAATCAAGGGCTAGTAGAAGAACACAGTGTTGAGAATCAGAAATCCTAAATTCTAAGTCCAGAGATGAATAACTGGTCTTAGACCACTTCTCATTTCTTTTTTCTGTTTCTTCTTTTGGGAGAGGGTGGAGGCATAATGTGAGGAGAGTTGGGATGGTCTTTCATGTTCCAGCAATCTTTTATCTCCTTTGATTGCAAATATTTATGAAGGCTAAGCTTCATTCAAGGCTCTGTAGTGTGCTAAGGCCACACAGCTCATTAGTCACTTAACACAGGCATGTGATACGACTGTAGTAAGAGCTGCATTTTAGGAACATCCTAGATTACATGAGTGTGGGTTATTGTCCCCAGGACAGGCAATCAAAACAGGGATGTCTCCACTGTTCGGGGGTTAACTTAGCATCTCTATATTCTCTTGGTCCTTGTGTGCCTTCTTCCTTTCTACAGTTGTATAGGATCTCCTAGTCAGGGAGGTTACCAAGACTAAGCAAATGACAGAACTTTTATCCAGGACACAAACAGCATCAACAAGAATTGAGATAAGAATGACATTAAAATTACAGGATAAAAATCAGATTTGTTGCTAGAACATTTTTAGGTTATGTAACTCAAGAGTTTGACTGGATATGAAGCCTGGTTCTGCCATTATTAGACTTTGGACAAATTACTTAATCTCTCTGTGCCTCAGTTTATCTTTATAATAATGATATATTACCATACAAATAACCCTTTATTAGTAGTATCATGATCATTAAATGAACTCAAACAGATGGAGTGCTTATAATAGTGTCTAATCTTGATAAACAGTAGATGAGTATCAACTATTTCTCTTTATGAAATATATGCCAATAAGAAAACTTTGAAAACAGCTCAAGAGAATGATAGAAATGTCTCCTTTATATATCACATTTGCATAAATCCTCATGATTTACTAAAGCATTTAAAATATACCAATTTTTTTACTCTCACAGTAACCTGGTAAGTATTACTCTCTCTCCTAGTAAGGAAGAAACAGGGTTTAGAGAGATCAGATGTCTTTTTCGGCCCTACCTGAAAAGGCACCAAACAACAGGCCTTTGGAAGAGAAACTCTATTATGACTCCTGTTGGCTATATCACAGCTGCTTCCAAATGCTGGGAGATTTGGGGGACTTTAACTTAATGACTACATAAGATCATTTATTTGGGATATCACATGTTTATGTTTTTTTGGGGGGTAGGGTATTAGGGTTTGAACTCAGGGCCTCCTGCTTATTAGGCAGACTCTCCACCACTACAGCCATTCCCCTAGAGCCTTTTTTTTCTTTCCTTTTTGCTTTAGTTATTTTTTGGATAGGATCTCCTGTTTCTGCCCAGGACCAGCCTCTGACCAGGATCTTCTTACCTACACCTCTCACATAGCTAAGATTATAGGCATGAGCCACCAAGCTCAACCTCACAGGTTTTTTCTGAGCCTTTCTTTCTTCACAGTAAAATGGTCACAATAATACTTATTTGGTAGTTTGTTATGAAGATCAAACAAGAGAACATAAGGAAAAGGCCCAGAGGTAAGTCCAGAATATGGAATGTAGTAAAGTTAGCTCTCAGTTCTTCCCTCCTCTGCCAAATATACAGATCATTACCGGCTCTTTTTAGTCTTAGTGAAGTTTCATTGGATCCAGGGATCAGGTTGCAAAGAACCTAAATCTATCATTGTATCAGCAACAATCCCAAGAAGAAAATGCTATTTCTAACCAGCCTATCTCTCTTTTTTTTATTTTTCTTTTATTCATATGTGCATACAATGTTTGGGTCATTTCTCCCTCCTTCTCCCACCCCCTCCCTTACCCCCGCCCCCTCCCTTATCCACCCTAACCCCTCGCTCCCAGGCAGAGACTATTTTGCCCCTATCTCTAATTTTGTTGAAGAGAGAGTATAAGCAGTAATAGGAAGGACCAAGGATTTTTGCTAGTTGAGATAAGGATAGCTATACAGGGAGTTGACTCAGATTGATTTCCTGTGCGTGTGTTACCTTCTAGGTTAATTCTTCTTGAACTAACCTTTTCTCTAGTTTCTGGTCCCCTTCTCCTATTGGCTTCTGTCACTTTAAAGTATCTGCATTAGTTTCTCTGCATTAAGGGCAACAAATGCTATCTAGTTTTTTGGGTGTCTTACCTATCCTCACCCCTCCCTTGTGTGCTCTCGCTTTATCATGTGATCCAAGTCCAATCCCCTTGTTGTGTTTACCCTTGATCTAATGTCTGCATATGAAGGAGAACATACGATTTCCAGCCTATCTCTCTTGAGGTACACTGTTTTCTCAGACCCTTAGAAGCCAGCTGGACCAGCCTTAAGCGTTGGAGAGCAAGAGTCTCAGTTTTGAATTTAATGCCTTAAATGATTCAGCTTCTCAGGTGGATTTTCCTATGAGGGAAGAAAGTACATCTCCTGCATGGTAAGAGGTGAACTGCCCAGCAATTGAAACTCCCACCTTAAAAAATTTCTGTTTTATGCACAGGTCTTCTGTGGCTTTGGTTGGTGTGAATCACTCTGCTGAGATGGCTCACTCTTAAGTGTCATTACAAAATCAATTTGGGGTCCTAGGAAATGGAGGAACAGGTCCTGATACCCAGGACAAGCACTTTATCTTGGTTTTGTTCTTACTTGTCTATCAGCTGATCTATTGTAATTCTGTACTAACTACCCCCTATTTTTCTCTCCCACATTCTATTTTCCCTTGTTGAAAATGCTCATTTTATAGCCAGACATGGTGGCTCATGCCTGTAATCTTAGACACTTTGAAGATGAATGTGGGGATGATCACAGTTTGAGGCTAGCAACCAAATTTTGCAAGCCCCCATATCAGCCAATAGAAAGCTGGGTGCAGTGGCACTCTCCATTCATCCCAGCTATGCAGGAAGCATAAGGGCCATAAACCAGAGACCCTATTCAAAAAATAAAAACAAAAAAATGTCTGAGGATGTGCCTCAAATGGTAGATAGCCTGCCTAGCAAGCTGGAGACCCCTGAGTTCAAACCCCAGAACTGCCAAAACAAACAAACACAATACAAAACGAAAAATCCCCTCATTTTCTAAAGAACAAAAACATTGAACTGAGTTGGTTTTACACTACTACCTATTTCAATGAATTCTCATAATTGCTCTGCAACAGTGAAAAGATCTACACTCCCACATCCAAAAATTGTTGGGGGCCAGATGAATTTCAGAATCTCAGAATTTTTCAGATTTTAATATAGTAAATGGAGTGAACATATATTACATATGACATTGCATTGTCTGTGGGGAACACCTCATAGTGAAAGATAATCCTTTCTGTAGCTTAATGCATATGTAATGCCTTTAAGAAGAAATAAAGGCAATGAAATATTTCAAGTCTATTTTGGACCATTTTGGGGCAACTTTTACTGTCAAATGAGTTCAAATCATGTCATATTTTGTTACCAAGTGAGTGGGAACCCAAAAACAATTTTTGGTTTTACAGTTTTGGGATTTCCAAATGACAAGTGATTTTGGACCTACATAGATTGTCCTAGTTTACAAATGAAGAACGTAGGAGGCTCATAGAGGTCAAATAATTTGCCCGAGATTCTGAGACACCAAAAATTGAATCAAGGCACTGAAAGTCTTGGGTTTCCAATGTGTGGCTTGTGCTGTTTCTCTCCCAAACTGCCCTCTCCCATCCCTTGTTCTAAAAATGCCACTCTCTTTAGTTTCTACTGGGCTTTCATACCAGACTATATTCCAGCCTTTCCCAGTCTGGGTTCTCATAACAACTCCATGTGCTTTGTTTCCTTATGGAGATCCTAATTCTTGCTTTTCCAGCCTCTGATCCAGAGTGGCAATCCATAAATATTTGCTGAATTGAACTTAAAGCCTTAACCAATAACTCAGGAAAGCAGGCAGTATTAGAGCCATAAGAAGTATTAAAGTTATGAATGTCTGATCTGTGTTCCAAACGGTATGTGGTTCCATAAGAATTTGAGGCATATGTTTACATGTTGTGCTGAGGTTGGTCATTCCTTTTCAGTGTAAGTAGCAATGACATTCCCACCCTTTCTTCACAGTCTTCCACTCACATATTACACATCTTCCCCCCCCCCACACACACATACAAGCATATACTCATCAGACTTCCAAACATAGCAACAAGAAAGTACCTTTTCGTAGAACATCAGTTTGTTCAGAATATTCTACAAAAGTAGGGATTTGCTCCACAATGTACAAGGTGCCTTTATCAAGGCTCTTACTCAGGTTCACCTTCTTCAGGTCCAGGACCATGTATTGATTGTTATAGGTACCTGAAATATTGGGAGAGACAAAGGAATGGCATGGATTTGGATTTATAGGTTAACATATGTGTATACCTAAAAGTTATTCTGCAGGGCCACTTACCAGAGTTGTATTTTGAAAAGATCTCTGCCCACTGTTTGCCACCATTTGCCATCATATTTGCCACACGGACTCTTTGCCAGGCCAAAAGAGTCTCAGGTACCACAAACTTCAGTAGGGTTTTATTGTATACACTGTTTGTGGTCTGCAACAATACCAAACCACTGCTAAGAATGTAAAAGTCATCCAGAGACTCCAAAAACCCTATAGGAAAGATAAATACACAAATGAGCACATGGATGCATTGAACACTGAACCATCATTATTAGCCCTGAATTTCATGTTCACAATGCATTTTGTAATGTGTCAGTAATGATTTCCCTTGATCTATAGCAGCCCCTCTCAGCTTTGGCTCACCTCTGTGGTAGCTACCCATCTGCTGATTATAAAGATGATAGTAGACCCCCACCCCTGGGTTCACCATTGAAAAGGTTTATCTTTATGGTTTGGGATAACAAAAATCTATATTGAATTGGGAATAGTGTTAATTTTTTAAAAAGATAAACAGAAATAGATGCCTACTTGTTAGGATTTTGCAAAGGAACTTTTAATTAGCAGGATAGTTAAGAATATTGATACTTAAGAATATGGATACCTTCTCTTTGTGCTTTTCTGATTTTTACAAGTTTTATCTGCGACTACATGATTTTTATAAATAGAAAACATTTACATGTACAAAAGTGGACATGGTTTTGGAACTAGGACATTGACATCCTGGATCAAAACTTTTTCTAAATGTTGGAGGTGGCACAGTAAAATCAGTGAAAGCCACAAGTCTTTTCTTAAGGCCTATTTTGTGGTTAATACTGGAATGAACAGGGAAATGACAGGTCAGATACAGCTGTAATGATGAGAGGGTTTATTGTCATTGGTAACTAACTATAATGGTCAAACAGGCAGCATTAAAGAAATGTCAGAGAAGAGTCTGGAGCACCCCTCATGAATAGAATTAATTTAGGGAAAGATTTGGAGATCCAAGTACAAAGGCATTCAGAACCACCCACCCACCCCCAAAAACATGACTAGAACAGAACTTCTCTACATCACCTAGTAGTTATAATGCCAAGACTACAGAATTAAGAAAGAATATTGAAAGCTTCAAGAGAAAAACATCAACATACTTATATTTTACAATGGTAAAATCATCAGAATTACATCAAATCTCCTAGCAAAAACCCTAACAGCTGAGAAAACATGAGCAGGTATATTTCAAGCTTGGAAGTAAATGCTAACTCAAATTACTGTATCCAGCAAAGTTATCCTTTAAAAACAATGGAGAAATAAAAACCTTCCAAGATAAGGTACAAACCAAAGCTATTCATAACTCAGCACTATAGAAGATACTTAAAGGAATCCTAAACAGAGATGAGGAAGAAAGGCAGTCACAATGTGAAAGTTTAGGAAAGAATAAATTTCATGAGAGGAGCAGAAGAAAAATGAGGATTAGAAAAGAATCAAGCATGTTCAACTCAGTAAATCAGCAAACTCCCACGATGAGTAAGGGAGAAAGAAAAGGTCAAACAGTACTGGAATCAATCAAGGAAGAAACAAAACAACAACAACAAGAAAAAAACCCCAACAAAATAACAAGAATCAGCAGCACCTCTCAAAATAACCCTAAATGTAAATGACCTTAATTCTCTAATTTAAAGATGGAGACTGGCTGATCAGATTACAAGATCTAATAAATTGTTGTCTGCAAGAGACACACCTCACTGGCAAAGACACACAGACTGAAAGTGAAAGCATAGAAAACAATATGCCAAGCAAGTGGCATACTGAAAGTACAAAGTAGTGTACTCATATTTACAAAGTAGACTTCAAGCCAAAGTTAGAAAAGATTAAGAAAGTCACTATACATTAAAAAAGGGAAATGATCCATGAAGAAAACATAAGAACTATAAATTCATAAGCACCAAATGTTGGTGGACTGAATTTCATAAACAATACTGAACATAAAGGGTCAGATAGATCCAGATACAATAATAGTGGGTGACTTCAATATCCTACTCTCATCAACAGATAACCCATTCAGACAAAAAAAAAAAAATCAACAAAAAAAATTCAGAGTTAAACTGCACAGTAGATCGAACAGATGTAATAAAGATCTGCAGAATATTCCATCTAACAGTAGCTGAACACACATTTTTCTCAGCAGCCCATGGAACTTTTTGCAAAATAGATTACATTTTGGTCACAAAGCAAGTCTTAACTATGAGAAAATTGCTGTCATTTATTTTATCTTATTAGATCATAACAAAAATAAAATTAGAAATCAGTAATGAGAAATTACAGAAACTATGGAAACACATGAAACTTAAAGTATACTTTTGCATAATCAATGAGTTACTAAAGAAACCAGGGAGGAAATTTTTTAAAATTCCTAGAATCAAATAAAAATGCTACATGCAAAGGCAGTGCTAAGAGAGATATTGTCGTGAGTGCCTACATTACAAAATAACAGGTTTGGAGCACACAATAGAGACATCTGTACACACATGTTCATTGTGGCACTATTCACAATAGCCAGGTAATCAAGTTACCCTAGATGCCCATCAACGGATGAATGGTTAAAGAAATTATGGCATATATATACACAATGGAGTACCATGCAGCCATAGAGAAGAGTGAAATTACGTCATTTTTAGGAAAATTAATAGAACTGGAGATCATGTTAAGTAAAGTAAGCCAGAAAGACAAGTATTCCATGAGTTCTCATATACAGATTCTAGATTTACAAACAAACAAACATAAGCATAAAAAGTTTTGTGGGGAAACAGTAGGAGTTGGGGAGGGGAACGAGAGAGGGTGATGCATGGTGAATATGTTCTAAGTACATTGTACATGTGTAAGAAAATGCCATGATATTTTTAGTTGCCATTACCTTGTAAAAGAAAAAACAAAATTCTAAAGAAGGAAAAGTAAAAATTGTGTATATTTATGGAGTGCAGCATAATATTTTAATAAATGTGTACATCATGAATGGCTAAATCAAGTTAACATATGTATAAACATATGTATTACTTAATACTCTTCTTAACATTAATTCTTTTTTTCAAACCTAAAACACTTAGCCTTTATCACATATATTAACTTGTAAGGAACCATGAGTTCAAAGTTTTTGATTTTCTCCCTAAAACACATTCAAACAAATGCATTTTGCAATTGTTTGTAATATGCAAAAAAAAAACTTGTCCATGTTCCAACTAAAATCACCTCACCACTATGACGCATGCCACTGAGCATCTGTTCTGGGCCTGGAATGGGATAGAAAGGGTGGGTTCAATACAGGGGCTACCTCAGGCTAAAGACTGAAAAGCATGGATTGTGGCTCAGAAGGTCTGCAGTTTAGTTTCCTGCACTGCCCCTAACAAATTTGGCAGTTCTCATTTTGCCTCTCTGATCCTCTTCCCTTTCTCTGGCGTTAAGTGATGTCACAATCTAAGTTGAATTTCTGAGAAGGAAAGTTATGTGATGAGAGAAGTATCCAACTAATCTAATGGGCTTCTCTACTGCTGCTGTTAGGCTTCACAGAGGTTTGTGTAAACTAAAGAGTGTTGCACACTCCAGGTGGTACAATGCTTGATGGCACCCTAATAACGAACCTCTCTGGGAAGATGCAGCCTGGACACAGGGTATATAGTTTGACAGAGTGTGGGGCAATTTCCAATAACTATTTATTCATTTCTTAGACTGGGATTCTTTCACACTGTTCAATCCATACAGCCATGCTTGGCAGCCTTAAGCAAGCTGTCTAGGAGAAAAACCTGTGTTTCTGGTTTGGTAAGTTTGCTAGTTCACTCCTTTACTGTAGTAGCCTTCCTGGACACAAGAGGGCAGGCGTTCTTTAATATATGTTAAGTGAATAAATAATATAAATGTTTAAGGTATTGTTTCTCATCTTAGAGCAAAACTCTTTTATTAAACACATTAGGAGATGGAAAAATCCAGACAGCCCAGAGTTCTGGAGCAAAAATTAAAAAAAATAAACCAGTTCTGAACTGGTTTACAAAAACTTCAGTTGAGATCACCAATTCTGTTTTTTAGAAATTAAGATAATAAAAAGCCCAGAGAGGTGACAAAGTCCTGACACATGCCTATAAGAGAAACAAGTGTTCTTTGACACTGTAAAATAATATTGTTGCTCGTATCTGTCATTAGCAGCTTGAAAGGAAGATGGTTAGAGATTAGGAGAAAGTGAAACACTCTGGTGTTTTATGAATGCCAGTCTCTAAGTAAGATCTCATAGTATGCTTCTTGCTGAATTTAATTAAGAAATAAAAAGGAACTGTTTTGGTCAATAACGCATACATTAAGACTTATAAAAATACTTTGATCATAAAAAGAAACAGTAACCATTACCCCCAGATGCCATAAAACTATTGCTTAGTGCAGCCCATGAAGTCATTAGGTATATTTGTTACATGCCCATCTGTACAGTGCAATCATCAGCTGCTTCAAAGCCCAGAGAGCGCAGACCAAGCCCAGGCCTTCCTTTTGGAAGAGCGGAACCAGTGTTGCAAGGCCATGGACAATGAAAACATCCAGTAGTGCTTCCATATCCTTGGTTTCACTCTCCTAGTTTTTGATTACCGACAGTCAACTGTGGTCTGAAAACACTAAATAGAATATTCCAGGAATAGATAATTCATAACTTTATTACACTACGTCCTTACAGTTTTTCTAATTAATAGTATTGTTAATCTCTTACTGAGCCTAATTTACATTAAAACTTTATCATTATTTATGATAAATTAAACCGTATCATAGTTATATGTGATAGGGCTAGAGGTGTGGCTCAAGTGGCAGTGCACTTGCTTAACAAACAGAAGGCCCTGGGTTCAAACACCAGTAACACCAAAAAACAAAAACAAACAGCCAACCAACCAGAGTAAGTATGGGGTTCAATATTATCTGCGGATTCAAGCATCCACTGGGGATTTTGGAATATACCTCCCATGGACAAGGGAGACTACTGTACAACTCAGGACCCTCATGGGGTCATGACTGTATTTCTTCCTGGCTCCCTCTGTCCATATTCTCTGCAATGTGACTTTGCCATAACGTTGGGGGCTAAGGAAGTGGTTCAAGTGGTACAGTGCTTGCCCCACAAGCTCAAGGACCTGAGTTCAAACCCCAGTACCTCTTAAAAAAAGGGGAAAAAAAAAAAAGAAGTGTTGTCATTTTCCTCAACTCTCAAATCT